TCAGCATAACACCCTTAAGAATATTTGGCCTCATTTCTTTAAACCAAATTTCAATAACTAAACTATCACCTTTATAGTCAGAAAATACAACATTTTCCGAAGAAATCTCCCACATAATCATTCCAAAAGAATAAATATCTGATGCTTTGGTAAATGACTCTCCTTGTAAAACTTCTGAAGCTATATATGGCAAAGCCCCATAAATTCCACCTGATTCTTTGTCTAATGTTTTATTAATCGATGTTGCAAATCCCAAATCACCAATATAAGCATTATATAAATTTTCTTGAAATATATTACCATTATGTAAATCACAATGAATAATGTTATTCGAATGAATTAATTGAAGATCGGATGCTATGTAGGATAGTAGTTCTAATCTCTTCTCCCATTTCATTTGTGCAACTTCATAAAGATTCTCACGTAAAGATCCCATTTCTGCATATTGCATTACTAAAATATAATCATCTGTGTCTTCATCTTTCGATATTCCATGACATTGTAAAAATGTGGGATTTTTAGATCCAATATTTGAATATGCGATTAACTTTAAAATCATAAACATTAAGTGAATATTAATGACCAAACTATCAAACTTGAGTTGTCAAATATTTACCTCATTTATAAGTTGAAGTTATTTTTGATCCATGAAATAATTTAACTGCAACAAGTTGACTAACAATGCCATTTGGGGTTATGCTATTCCAATTAGCACCATACACAGTTGCAAATCCACCCTTTCCAATTTTTTTAAGAAATTCTAATTCATCAAATGGAATCCACGATATTAATAAATTATTGTCGAATAATAATTTTTTTAGAGAACAATTAAAACTTTCGTAGTCAACCGCCTTTTGATATTTATAATTACTTTTCGCTTTTTGTAACCATTCAATAGCTTTTCCCTGATCAGATAATGTTCCATAGCCATCTCTGTAGCAGTTCCCGACAATGAATTGTCCATACGAATCACCACCTTCAGCAGATTTCAAATACCACTCAAATGCCTTTTTTTCATTCTTGGCTGTGCCTATGCCTTTGTCATAGCAGAATGCGACATCGAATTGTCCAGTCGAATTACCACCTTCAGCAGATTTCAAATACCACTCAAATGCTTTTTTTCCATCCTTGGCTGTGCCTATGCCATTTCTGTAGCAGATTCCGACATTTAATTGTCCATTCGAATTGCCACCTTTAGCAGATTTCAAATACCACTCAAATGCCTTTTTTTCATCCTTGACTGTGCCTATGCCTTTGTCATAGCATAATCCGACATTGAATTGTCCATTCGAATTGCCACCTTCAGCGGATTTCAAATACCACTCAAATGCCTTTTTTTCATCCTTGGCTGTGCCTATGCCATTTCTGTAGCAGTTTCCGACATTTATTTGTCCATTCGAATTGCCACCTTCAGCAGATTTCAAATACCATTCAAATACCTTTTTTTCATCCTTGGCTGTGCCTATGCCATTTTGATAACACCATCCAAGACTATTTTGCCCGTTCGAATTGCCACCTTCAGCAGATTTCAAATGCCACTCAAATGCCTTTTTTTCATCCTTGGCTGTGCCTATGCCTTCGTCATAGCAGATTCCGACATTTAATTGTCCATTCGGATTGCCACCTTCAGCAGATTTTAAATACCATTCAAATGCTTTTTTATCATCCTTAGCTGTGCCTATATCATTTTCATAGCAGAGTCCAATAGCGTATTGTCCATCTGAATTGCCACCTTCAGCAAATTTCAAATACCATTCAAATGCCTTTTTTTCATCCTTGGCTGTGCCTATGCCTTTGTCATAGCAGATTCCGACATTTAATTGTCCATTCGAATTGCCACCTTCAGCAGATTTCAAATACCACTCAAATGCCTTTTTTTCATCCGTGACTGTGCCTATGCCAGCTTCATAGCAGAATCCGACACTCACTTGTCCACCAGAATCACCATTTTCTGCACATTTTAAGTACCATTCAAATGCCTTTTTTTCATCCTTGGCTGTGCCTATGCCTTTGTCATAGCAGATTCCGACATTGAATTGCCCATTCGAATTACCACCTTCAGCAGATTTTAAATACCACTCAAATGCCTTTTTTTCATCCTTGGCTGTGCCTATGCCATTTCTGTAGCAGTTTCCGATACTTAATTGTCCATTCGTATTGCAACCTTCAGCAGACTTCAAATACCACTCAAATGCCTTTTTTCATCCGTGACTGTGCCTATGCCATTTCTATAGCAAAATCCAAGATTATATTGTCCATTCGAATTGCCATCTTCAGCAGATTTCAAATACCACTCAAATGCATTTTTATCGTCCTTGTCTGTGCCTACACCATTTTGATAACACCATCCAAGTTTATCTTGTCCATTCGAATTGCCACCTTCAGCAGATTTCAAATACCACTCAAATGCCTTTTTATCATCCTTGGCTGTGCCTATGCCTTTGTTATAGCAGAATCCGACATTATATTGTCCCTTCGAATTGCCACCTTCAGCAGATTTCAAATACCACTCAAATGCCTTTTTTCATCCTTGGTTGTGCCTATTCCATGTCTGTAGCAGAATCCGGTATTGGATTGTCCATCTGGATTGCCACCTTCAGCAGATTTCAAATACCATTCAAATGCCTTTTTTTCATCCTTGGCTGTGCCTATGCCTTTGTCATAGCAGATTCCGACATTGAATTGCCCATTCGAATTACCACCTTCAGCAGATTTCAAATAACACTCAAATGCCTTTTTATCATCCTTGGTTATGCCTATACCATTTTCATAGCAGACTCCAATGGTGTATTGTCTATCTGAATTGCCATCTTCAGCAGATTTCAAAAGAAATTCAAAATCTATATTTTCATCCATAATAACTTCTAATCAAAGGATATATAGATTTTACATATTTTATAAGAATAAAGATTTGATATGAACATAGAGTAGTATGAAACTACAATTAGAAAAATCGGACTTTAGTCCAATAATTCATAAATTTTTCGAGATGATATTATGATAAAATGATTATGTGTTGAAGAATATTAAATAAATTACTTTGGATAGAGATAATTTATTTATACACTTTAAAGTATCTATCTTTCAAGAACATAACGTTTTACTAATAAAAATAACAATAAAAAATTATCTTTAGCTTTTAAACATACATTAAAATTTATTGTATAAATAATCTTGAAACTGATTGACTTTGAAGATAAACATATTAGTTGAAATTTATTAAACTTGTGTGGGGATCTTATTAGCTGATCTAAAGCAAATTATTCAACAAGATATATTTGATATGTAATGGTAATGGTTTATCGTAGTTTGTGCCCTTGATCGAACTTTGTAGATCACAGCCACATGTTATTTGACAGTAAACTTTATGATTTTCGTGATGATAGCATTAGCGGGAATTTTTTGAAAATTCCAAATTGCCTATCAATCAATTAACAACATCTATATCAGTATAATCATTATTCAAAATCTTTTTTTTAAATTTGTTGGAAACGATTTCCTGTGATTTCACATGATGTCATGATCTACAGATGTTACATCTTTTTTTTTGTAACAAAGAGAAAAAAGGGGATTCATGATATTTTCTTTCTTGCCAGGTCAATATTCACTAAAAAACCATTGATCATAATCGTGTAATCGGATCATAATCAGGAGATTGCAATGTGAGTTGTGATCTATAATCAATTAAGGATATGTCATTTTGCAAACTATTGTTTTAGATTCACGCAATAAACGTGATTCTCTTGAAGGATGTATCATCATTTATTGTCTTAATTAGGTTTGTATGCGAAAAAGATTGAATTTTATCGATATTATGGTATATAGTATCCTTTGAGAATTATATACTAACTATTACACAAAGTACTCACCAACTAGATCGCTGGACTCGTGAATAGTATCCAGTACTATTCGATTTTAAAAATGAAGTTCTTGAATAAGAATCTTTTTTTTTTTTTTTTTACAGGGTAATCCCAAAATTCAATGTCGAAATTCACCAAAGTTGGTTTGGTATTAAATAATATCTGATAGACTATGTCAGTCGAGTATTTTACTTAACAGTTAATGAACAGACAATATTCAATAGATGAATGAATAATAAATACATATTAGTAAAATAAAATTGTAAAGAATTATCATTAATATTAAATTAATTATTTTTCCAGATAAATCAAATAGAAATTAGTAAACCATATTTGACTATGTTAAGTAATTATTTTTTAGAAAAATCACATAGGAATAGTAAATCATATTGTTCAAGATTTGACTTTCCCAGAAAAGATTTCATTTATTTGCCACATGATGATGATGGTTTTTGAGTGATTTTAGGCAAAATTGGTCAATTCCGATCCAGTCGATCACGATCCGACCCATAATATTGGATTTTCACGTACGACCCATAATATTAGTAAGTTAATATCTTTAATCGTTATTGTTAATAGTTAAGATTATCAAAAAAAACGTAATTGTTAATAGTTAAAATTACAAAAAAACGTAATTGTTTATAGTTAAGATAATCAAAAAAAAAAAACGTAACAGGGTAACACTGATTATCCCACTTGCATAATCGGGTAAATAACGGTTTTCGGTTTAAATCAATTACGTATAATCGTGAATTTATGTTCGCTTACAAATAAAAAAAAAAATTAATTGTAGATAGACATGTGAAACATTAATTTAAAAAAAATACACAAAATACGTAATAGTTTATACGTCCAATAATTCCATTTATTTATCGTTATATTTTATTTTAGCAACAAAAATAATTTTTTTAGAATCATAAAACGAAAATATATATAGCAAGCAATAAATATATACAACTAAATACATTAATCATACCGATACATATTATATAATATATGTATATGTATACGATCAGCTATTTATATTGATATGTACGCACGTACATAAATACATATCAATAATTTATACAATATATACTATATAAAAAAAAAATGTCCAAAAGAAATTGGTCCAGACCAATAACGTCATAATAAGAAAATCTATACTATTATAGCATGTGTACTAGAATTGCTTGCAGTAGGAGTAGTTGGAGTAATAGAAAATGGACGTGAAGAAGATACAGAGTTATTGGTATAATCAAAAATAGAAGAAGTTGGAGAAATATTAGAATTAATAATATTTAGTTTTAGATTGTCTGTAGTAGTAATATTTCCAATATCTAAATCAGATTTATTACTATGAATATAAAATTCAGTAGGTTGAGTCTGATTTGACATTGACAAGTCAGAAATAGGAGTAATAGTATTTGATCTAGCCACAGGAAGATCCGAACCTAATAAGCCAGAACTTCCTAATGGTTGAGATGAAACATTAGGATTTGAAACATTATTTTCTTCAGCGATAGAGCTTATACCGTAATCAACACCGGCACCAATAATACCATTTGTATAATCATCAAATACATTATGATATTTATTCACAAGAGTTTTACTTATTCTTCGCATCCTAGTCACACCTTGAATAACATGAATGGCTTTCTTTAGTGTGGCACGAGGATAAGAAACGCCGTCGGAGCGAGAACGTGTTTGATGGACATTAGCAATAGTCTTATCAATAGTCAGTTTAGCAGCGTATTCAAACCAAGGATGTTTTAAAGCATCATGGGCCGTTATTCGTTCATCCGGGTTGTAAGTTAACATTTTATTAATTAAATCTTTGGCTGAAAAAAGATAACGAATTTAAAAATCAGTAAAAAAAAAAAAATGTATATATCTATACTGTATATATTTATTTATTTAAATGATATATTACCTTCGTTGCTTATGTCATCCCAATAATCTTCATCGAATTCATAACTTCCCTTTAATATACAATTAAATAAGGCAGTTTGATCGTGACCCCAAAATGGAGTATATCCACATAAAATAGTGTAAAGAATGACACCAAGTGACCAAATATCACACGGTTTCGAATAACTATATAAAATTAGAAAATTGGTTAATTTAAATTTATAAACTTAAAGAATTTAGAGAATTTAGGAACTAACCCTTTTTGACTTAGGACCTCAGGTGCAACATAGCCCGGTGTACCGCACGCAGTCATTAATACATCATCGTGATGTTTTAGGATTTTAGAAAGACCAAAGTCAGTAATCATTAATTTGGGATTTGGAGACGTTGCATCGCTGAACAAGAGATTTTCTGGTTTCAAGTCTCTATGAACAATCTGTAAATAATTAAATGATTAAATAGATAGATAATAAATATTACAAATATTAATAAATGTTTATAAATGTTATATAATAATGATAAACGTCAATAAATGTTAAGGCATAATGACATACATCGTGATCATGTAGGTAAATAACACCTTCAAGAATTTGCTCTATAAGATGTGCAGCGTCTTTTTCGGTGTAATTTCCTCTTTGTTCGAGTTGACTATACAATTCACCGCCATTAGCAAGGTCGGTGATGATATATACATCGTCCTTGGTTTCGACTAATTCATGCAGGGTTACTAAATGCGGATGGTTGACCTGTTTCAGAACATCTAGTTCTGTTGTTAACATTTGTTCTTTTCCTATGTAAATAAAAAATATATTTTAGCGTTAGATATTCACGATGACGACGCGGAAAGTGACACGTGATGGGGATGTGATGATTACCTTTAATGACAGTTTTTGAAATTATCTTTAGTGCATAATCAACATTAGTTCGTTTATCTGTACATTTTCTAACCACTGCGAAGGAACCTTTACCAAGAATGTTAGAAATGGTATAGTTCTTTTCCAAATCCCAGGGGAATGAAGGTTCACCACCTTTGGAATGATTAAAGATTTTTTTCATTGTCATTCTAGACATAGAGTAAAGAAAAATTATATTGTTTCTTAATATTTTTTAATAATAATTGATGAATTAAATATTTTTAGATAAATATTTTGAATCGAAAATTTTTAGCTAAACGTTTTTGTGATAGAATAAATAATTTCTAGTAACTACAGGATTGTAGTAACAGAGTTTTAAGTCTAAATGTTTACGTGTAAATTTTAAGCGTGTACGTATGTGGCGCACCAATCAAGTGGCTTGCAATTAATTAATATTTATTTCGTTATGATAACAAGAATTTTACTTGTTAAGATAAGTTACTTTTGTAAAGGTTGCAGGAAAAAAAAAAAATATTTGCATGCCCTTTTTATAATTTTTCATTAATATTATTTTATAGAATTTAATATTATATTCATTTACGGTATTAATATGGAAAATTAAATACGTAACGATTTGCAATACCTTGCACGATTCTTGATATACACGGGGGCATTTTTCAAGCCTTGACGTAAGGAAAACTTTTTCTTTATTTTTGGCTCATCATCATTTATTGGTCGAGTAGGTCGGCTTGTGTTTACAGAATTATTAGGTCGATTTTTTAAAAAATTGGGAAAGAATTTATGGAAATTCAAATGTTCATACATGACTAATCGTTTATTCAAGTGTAACTAAGACAAGAATCAGGCAATGTTTCTTAATGAAAATGAAAAAAATCAGGTAACATTAAAAAAAAGGATAGGTTGCGGCGGAATTAACCGGACTACAACATTAAAACATTAAATCATAAAAAAATCGAGAATCAAAACATGAGAAGATAAGTGTTTATATATATAAATATATACTATGTTTCAAATGAAATCACATAAAAATACAACTAGATATATGACTTGGCTTACTTGTCGAAAAATGGTCACGACAGATAAAGCTTAAACTTTTTTTGATTTGAAACAAATATAATAAACGGATATATTTAGTAACGGTTAATAATTGGCGTTAGCTCAAAAAAGATTATATAGTACCACGTGAAATTTTTTAATTTATTTTTGACCTTTAAATGTTAATACGTATATATGTATATATATATATGTATATATATATATGTATATATATATATGTATATATGTATGCATTAGTCCGGAATTTAACTCCCTTAAGACTGTGTAAGTTTAGTAAATTCTACTACTTTTACAAATTCATACGGAGTTGAATTTTTCCACATCTTTTAGTCATGTGCATATAAAATGTATAATATTATGTATTTAACATTTGTTATTACTACGTATAAATTTCGTCTAACGACTGTAAGTATTGTAAGTACATATCTGATATCAAATATATATGCCTGTAATTTTCAGTACGTGCATGCGAATCAGTTAATCAATTTAACGTTAATAATACATATTCAAATATTCACTTTTATTTATTTATTTATATTTATTTATATTTATTTATAGTAATTTATTAATAGCAATTTGGTTTCACACATTACTATGTTTTTTTCCTGCGTAACTCGTACGTAAAACAATATTAACCAAATCACGCAATTTTTGTTGATTGGTGAGTAACCTAATATAGCATTTGAATATGTTAATACGTATTATACAATTTATAAACATGATTCGTTCGTTCCCATTACCCCTAAAATTCTCTTTTAAGATTTCAATTAGCCATTCTTTGCTCGATTATCCTTTGTAATCATTGATTATCTCTGTACAATGCATAATGAAGCCTTTGGCAGGTCGGTCCGAAATGTTGATCGCGAAATCTTCATTTATGCGTAACAACTTAAGTAATCTATATATTATATCAAATTTCCAATTTTTCATTCATATAAAGTCATCAATTTTCATTCAGGCAAAAATTTTTTACAATGAAGCCTCGTGCGACCTCGACATGAATTTTTCGCATAAACATTGGCACGATGCCAATGCGCAATTTCGGCCGAGAAACTTTCGCGTAGTAACTTCCGTATGGCATATGAAAACTGGTTCACCCTAGTATGGTTAATGTTTTTTATTCTTTCTAATTAGAATGTTAACGTTAATAACAAACATGCATGTGTAATGGTAACCTAGACATATTATCGCTATATAGTGATCATAACAATAATCAGTATCCTAATATCGATAGATAATACATAAAAATTAATTAATTGCGTTACGTTAACAATACTACGGAATGTTTTTTCACTTTAGTCATAAATTTATCCCTAACTAGTAAGATAATAAAAGAGGCATTATGGCGCAGCTACGAACAAAATCTTGTGTAACTCGTCCAAATTGAATGACTTATACATATCGATATCAGTATGCCATTCGATTCACCTCATCAAGACGAATCAAATGATACCAAAAATAGGTCGATTCTAATCACGGTCACGAGATATGAACTATACAAAGCTAAGAGGTGAATTATCTCGGGTTCTAGTGATTAGAATCAAATGATTTTACTATCGTTCGATTCTTCTCACCGAGATGAATCAAATGATTTTACTATCGTTAGATTCGTCTCACCGAGATGAATCAAACGGTGGTAAAATCATTCGATTCAGATCACCAGATCCAGAGATATCGCAAATGAGTCATAATACCCCTTTTACTTCGGATATTTGATTCCCTTTTGATATTAGCGTTAGTGAAATTTTGATATTCGTAATTTTGACTTGTTATGAGTCAGATGAATGGATGAAAATAAGGTTCAAAGTTAAAGATTAATAATTATTATAGGCGCAGACAATTTAGAAGGTTAAAGGTAGCTATCTCTTCACATGTAAAATTTGGGTAGTGACGTCAATACTTACGATGTTACCCGGGACGTCCCAAATTATGTGATGAATAGCATCACAAGATTTCAGCAATAACAATAAGGAGGTAAATACCTCACGCGATATTATTCATCACATAATTTGGGACGTCCCAAATAGTTTGGTAACATCGCTAGTCCATACATCACTGCCGTAAGTTATTTTCTAATGTCTGCGGCTTTAATAATTATCTGATAATTTGTAATACGTAATACATTCTAAATTTAGGATCTAATATAGTATATACGTATACATTGGGTAAATTCCAATCTTATAGCTTTTAAACTCAAACTATGCCTTTTAGTCCTGTCTGTTTAGCATTATCGGAATTGAATTCCGTAAGATGATAGCATACAAATGCATAATAGTGTATCTGACGTAAAGTTAGTAACGTGCTGCGTGTCTCGCATTCAAAGGGTCCATTTTTAAATACAGTATATTATTCTTTATTTAATTTCATTTTATGGAACATCATTTTTTTTTGTTCCTGTGACATATTAAATATACAGTAACAGAATAATAAAAAATGGTGATTATTGTTAGTTTACAAATCAAAGATAACAGATTATATGCCATAGTAATTTGAAGTTTAAAATATTTTGCAAACTGAAATAATTTTTTTTCTGCCCGAAATATTTGGATTAAACCAAAGCACTAAATATAAACATCATAACCTGGGTTACAATTTATATACATTCAGTGTTATAATCATAATGTTTGTTATAATTTACTATGTAGAACTCGATAAAGACAGTTATGGCAAAAGTTGTAACTATCACTACGGAATTAAGACTGCATATCTAATACGTAAAATAATACTAAGCTCATTGTTTAATACCATCAGTTTATCAGTGGCGAGTAAGAAAAACTCCATTTTTATCAATAAAATTATTAAGTTCAAATATAGTGTAACTATGGTTTGTCTCTCATTTTGCATTTAAGTAACACGTATAAGTTCTGATCTATCTTCTCGTGTATAAACGTAACAGTAAGAAAGAAATGATGATGCCTTCAAGGGAATCAATCATGTTTATTGGTAACATATGTTTAAGGCTAAAACATAGTTTAAATCTTTAATATCTCCATGAGTTTTATATAGTAATAATCATCATCTAAGTCTGCCGACAGTTTTAAAGCTACGTATTTCATACAATAAACTTTTAACGTGTGTTTAAAGCTAAGGATACATTTGTTATTTTTATTAGTAAAACGTTATGTTATCGAAAGGTATTTTAAAGTGTATAAATAAACCATCAAGATAATTTATTCATACTCTTCAACACATCATCACTTGC